GATTTGAATGTAATTTTGTTGAGTAGTTGTTGTGAGAGATAAGTAATCCTTTAATCGAAGTCACAATAATAGGCAAACTTTTTGCATCACTTTATACTGTATATTGAATTTTATTTTATTTTTTCCAACAAAACATTAAATTGAATTCAAATCAATAGATAAGTCCATACGAACTGAAGAGCGGAATAAGTGTTAAGGAATTGGCGACAAATATTGCTAACAATAAATATTTGGTGCAATAATTGCATTGAAATGTAATTGATTTACACACGCGTTGACCAGTGGTGTGATGTCTGATCCAATCGCCAATACTGTCAACAAAGTGGTCATTGCCTTCTGCTGTCTGTTGAATCCCAGGGCCTATCGGTGCCGACCGTCAGTCACATTGCGTTTCTCTTCTCCGATGTAAACGAATCGACTCTTTCTCACAGACAGAACACGCGATTCAATGCAATATCACTAATGCTGAGGATGTGATGGTTTTGGATGCGATGGCTTATACTGTTGGGTAGTAGTGGTAGTACTGGTAGTTGTGTCAGTGCTTTGCAGACTCTGTAGTGGCAATGCTTTGCAATTGGGTTTGCAGTGAGGAATTGCTCACTCAATGTGATCCTAAGCAGACTCCAGACTCACGGCTTCGCCAGAGACTCACCACCGATAGAGTTATGCACAGCTCTTACAACACACTCTCCACACACCAACTGACGAGCGCTCTGAGCACTGGCATCGCTTTGGCATCACTTTAGCATCACTGGCATCACAGCCCCGGATAACTGTGCAAAAGCAAACGCAATGTGCATATAGTATATTACCGTACACTACATATAAACCCATACATTGACTGCTAGTCTGAGTGCTGTGTTTGTATGCAATAGAGAATTATAGAGAATATTAACACAATTTGCACATCAATTCAATTCTTGTAATAATATTCTTCTATTTAAAGTGCATTATATGTAAACATTTTGACAAATATTTGGCCAATTCTTACGACACTTTCGCACTAACTTTATTTCGTCTCCAAATTCGCTAAACAAGTCATTCAATTAATTTTTACGAATCTATTAATTGTGAATTTAACTACTCTTTCGCTTTACATCGTTATGCAATCCATTGATAATTTGCTGTCAATTAGCAAAAGCAGTCCATTAGAAGTGAGTGCTTCGCGAAAAATAAATATTTATAAATGTTTAGCAATAAATGTAAAACAAAATCAAAAATTAAAGCATAAATTTCGCTAAATTATTGACGGGCTCTTCTAGTCATGTATGCAATCGTTTTGACATCAGAAAAAAAGTTTGCATTGAATTGAATGCAAGAATTTTGTTGTTTCGTTCATTCAATAATATTTATTCAAACATTGCGTTCAACTGTCGCTCCTTTCATCCATCAATTCACTTATAATCTAATTTTCATCTATTTATCCACTCTTTTATATATAATTTTTATTTATTTTTTCTGCAATTTTAGTTTATATAACACAAGCGTCTAATATATTGTATATTATTTTAATTGGAAATTTTTATTTAAAAATTAATACAACCAACGAATTCGGTGGCACTCAATACAAACGTAATGTTTTTTAAATGAGTCCTAAAGTCAACACGAATAGTGTCACAGCAATCATTTGATTCATTTAATTAGTAAATTAATGTTTATTATTTTAAACAATTTGCTTTTATTTGCTATTTAATTTGGACCTTAAAGGATTTTTGAACATCGAGTTAAGCATATGTTTTTCCCATCAAATAATTTACTGCATATTTGATGTGAAGTTTACACTATTATATGAATAGTTAGGAATTGCTTTTATTTCTCTAATTTTATTTATTATTTGACAATTTATTGAATGAAATTCCTTATGATTGTCAACCCGTGGACTATGTTTTGCCTCACAATTGGTGTCCGTAAGGAATGTGTGACAAAAATATGTATTTTTCATTTTGTCTGGTATTATATTATACTCAGAACTCAACATATTTTGGCTGATATTGTATTGTATTCATCAATAAATAGTAGGAGAAAAATGAACGAATGGTTGCAAACAATAGGTTTACATCTTTTTTGCCTCAATTATTCCCAAAGATATTTTCGCTCAAAACAAGAAAAGGATTGCTTTTTAGACCGTTTTCGTAAGTTATGAGTTAATGACAGCATGTTTTAGCAATAGTCGAGACAATGATGCCATACATATCAGACCAAAGCTATATATCTATCTATATATTGATAAATCTGCTGTATTTCTGATCGCAACCAATATTCGCCAATTCATGTCTTTGTATTCATCAGATTTCACAGTTCTTATCCACAAATGAATTGTGTTTAACATTAAATGCAACAATATTTTTATACCTATATTATTAACTTATCATTTATTTCTTATTATTGCATAAATTATCCTGAATCATTTAAAATCAATTTGATTTACCAATTTATTTTATTACTACTTTATATATTGTATTTACATTAAGCCTAAACAATATAATGCAGTCTCTCTCTCTCTCTCTCTCTCTCTCTCTCTCTGAGGCATAAAATATAATAAATAAAGCTGATCAGAATATGTTTTTAAATGTTTTTAACGGTTAGCTATATATGTTTGGGACTTTGGGGGCAAATTATTTGACCCTTTTTTAGTAAATATATAAGTAAATATTTGGCCATTTTTAATAAATATTATATAACATATTTGACCAAGAATAAATACATATTCTGATCAGCTTTAATAATAAAACAAATTGAATGATGGAATAGATTTAGGTTCTGTTTTCTGTTTTATTTTTCTTTGTATTGTTTTGTGAGACAATCTTTTGAGTCTCAATCTCTCCGACACAACAAAATCAAATATTGAGCACTTTTTTCGAGAATACTTCACATCAAATATTTTGGTGTTTAAATCAAATTTTTATAATTCTTATCAAAACATTATAAATAACTTTCAAATATGTCCAGTAGTTGTCAACAAATGTAAAGTCGGAAAGTTATGTATCAAATGAACAGATTAGGTAAAAACACGCTTCACTTTAATACACGTTTTTCACTGAATTCCTGCTCTCAATAATGTTTTCTCCACAGCAATAGTTTGGGTCAGTTATGAGTGAATTCCCTTTAAAATTGATAATAAAATGTCATTTCTAACAGAAAACTTACAAATCCTTAAAAGCTCTGGCAATTGAATTAATGGTGTTTTGCCTCTCGTTTTATTTTCTCGCTGATTATATCTTGAGTTCACAATTTATTTTCTTATAATATAAAACACCAAAATATTTTCACCAAAAATTATTATTTCATTTATTTATCCGCAGAAATTGCTGATAAAAAATTTGTTACAAACGATTTATTTAGGGGTTTGTAATTTTCACGAAACAATTTGAGTTTAAGTTTTATTTTTGAGTTTTTTCTACTTACAGACCGATATTATTATTTTAAGAGTAAGTAAAATAAATACACAAAAACATTCAAAAAATATAAGTATATTTCAAGCTATCTATCGATTAAATAAACATTTTTTAATATTTTTCTCAAAAGTATTTTCTCTCTCTTTATATATAAATGTTTATTTTGTGAAACACTTATGGGAAGTGTCTTAAAAATTTTTATTTAATAAAAACTATACACTACTCGATGACTGCCAATCATGTAATAGTGTATCGTTTCAATTACAAGAATATTCTGCTGTTAAATATCCACAGAATATATATATAAAGACATATAACATCTTATAATAATAGAAATTTTCCCCAAATATTATTAATATGTTTAGGAATATAAATAATTAATTCTTAAAAATTCTTTTCTATTCCATTAAATGTATTAAACATTATTGAAAATAAAATAGTTTTAGTTTTAATGCAATTAATCAAATGAATGTAAATTTGAAATAATTTTTTTGTCAAAAATAAGTATGTAATGTTTTCTAAACATATATTTTGATTTATTTGATTCATTTGAGTGAAGATGTATTAAAACAAAAACTCTTTAATAATTTTAGCATAACTTTATATTAAATTCTTATTTCATGCAATTCTTTCCAATAATATACAGAATATTCCTTATCGTATTCATAACTAATCTCTCGCTTTCTCCTCTTTCTTTCTCTCCCCCACTCAATCACTCCCTCTCTTTCCACCCTCTCATCGAAAGTGAAAGTGAGGTCAAGAGAGAGAGAGAGAGAGAGAGAGAGAGAGATCCATTCTGTAGACTATTATTGTTATTATAGCACATATGCCGCACATATCGACCGTTTCTTTATAAACTTTATCTGCACTTTGAAAGTAAAATATATTTATTTTTGTTGCAATTATGAGGACTACTAAGAGGAGAGTGCGAGAGAGGGAGAGAGAGAGAGAGAGAGAGAGAGAGAATCAATTGGTATTATTGGTGTTGGTGTGAGTGCTGGTAGTGTTAACAGTGGTTCACATTCTGTGACTCTCGTATAGCTGTGTAGACACTGTTGTGTGCAATGGCTATAGGAATGCGTTTGGTTTGTATGCACTTCCATTGCATTTATCGACTTTTTCATACCAAATACACTTTTCATTCTCTCTCTCTCTCTCTCTCTCTCTCTCTCTCTCTCTCTGTCGCATACAAATACATATACATTAAGAGGAAGAAAGAAAGAACGAAAGAAAGCAAAAGAGAGACTAACGCACAAAATATCTATTCAAAGCATTAATGTTTGAAGTAATGTAACGATCGATATAATTGGGTATAAAGTCTTTAGATGTGAGAGAGAGTCCCAAATATTGTCAACTCTTGTGATGATTCGCCGATTCAAACAAAAAACACAATCTTTTTATCGCTGACTCTATTCTTGTGATATGTATTCAACTGATTATAGATAACAAGTAATCGAAACGCAAGACAAGCCTTCGTCACCGCATTAGATGCTCGCAGAAAAAAGCACTTCCACTCACCACAGCTCTCTCTCTCATCTAAAGACTTTATACCCAATTATATCGATCGTTACATTACTTCAAACATTAATGCTTTGAATAGATATTTAGAGAAGATGTACGACAAAGAAGTTGAGCCCTTTTCCAACCCATTGGCGCCGCCGTCGGCCCAACCGGTGGGCGACCGAAGACACGACCACAACAACAGGGAGTCGTCGTCGGCGGCGATGGCCGCACCTCAAGACACCCAACCGCTCACTAACGCCGACTTCAGGAAACTAATGATGACTCCGAGAGTGGGAGGACTGGGCGGTGGCGGCCAGTCATCGATGGGCAGCGCGTCTGTGCGGGAGTCGACTCGCGGTCAACGGCCAGCACTCAAGTCGGACGCCACCGACAATCGCAAGACGAAGAAGAAGTTCTACGCGACTCTGAAACGCCAAGAGGACGACACGCTGTCAGAGTTGGCCAAACGCTATCGAGACAGAGCTCGCGAGCGCAGGGATGGCGACAATCCTGACTACACTCACGAGACGTCGGAGTCATCGGTGGCCACAAACGCCGCCTACAGAGCGGTGGCGCCGGACGTGAAGTCGGGTCTGGACGCGGCCGAGCGGCGCAAGAAAGTGATCCAGGAGTCGAAGTACTTGGGCGGCGATATGGAGCACACCCATCTCGTCAAAGGCCTCGACTACGCCCTCCTCCACAAAGTCAAGGCTGAGATCACCCATAAGGAGACCGAAGCCGACGAAGACGACGACGAGGAGGAAGAACGCGAGGCCAATGAGGCGAAGGGCGCCAACAAGAAGGCGGTTCCCGTTGACGACGATGTTGTCGAAGAACCCGACGATCCGTTTGCCGTGAAGAGTAAAATTGCCAAAAATATAGTGAATATTGTGATCAATAGAGCGCTTCCCGAAAGGAATGAACTCTTTTTGACCGGAAGAATGGCTTATGTCGTCGATCTCGGTATGTATTGATCGCTGTTTGGGTTCATTATTAATGATTAATTATAATAATATTATTAATTATTATTTTGCTTATAATTAATGCATTAGAGGATGAGTTCCCGGACAGCGATATCCCGACAACAGTGATCCGAAGCAAAGCCGACTGTCCCAACATCGAGTCGATGACCTCTTTGAGCACCAATGATATAGTGATCAACAAATTAACGCAAATCTTGTCATATCTACGACAGGGCGGCGCCGGACGCAAGACTAAGAAAGCGAAGGATAAGATTCCCTTCATTGACGACAATAAGACCAAAAAGAGTGATAAATTGACTCAAAACGCAAATAAGAGCACTAAAGGCGACAGTATTTACGACGATATCGGAGAGTATGTGCCGGACCTCAAGAAGAAGGAGAGTCGCAACGATAGGGAAAGGGATAAGAGTAGAGACCATAGAGATAGGGATCACCGGAACAGAGACCGCGATAGAGAAAGGGATCGCAATCGAGACAAACGTTCGCGTAATTACTTTGAGAAAAGCGGTCGCGAAGAGCAACAGGAGTCCCGCAAGACTGAGACCAGAGACGCGAAGAGTATAGTATTGGCGGGCATTACGGGAACGGGCGCTGCGGCCGCTGGCGTGCAATTGAGAACCAAATCGACTCATCGATTAGACCAAGAAATGCCGGAAAGCTATGCGGAGTGCTATCCCGGAGCGCCGGAGAACGACGACGCGGTGCTCGACAGCGACGATGAGGTCGACTACTCTAAGATGGATTTGGGGAACAAGAAGGGAGTGATCGGTCGCTGGGATTTCGATACGGCCGAAGAGTACGGCGATTACATGAGCCATAAGGAGGCGCTGCCGAAGGCGGCCTTTCAGTACGGCGTGAAGATGGCTGACGGGAGGAAAACACGACGAGTGGCCGGCAAGAAGGACGAGAAGATCAAACTCGATCGCGACCTCCAGAAGATTAACGCCATTCTGGCCCGACGTAAGGGCGCCGCCGGTGACGCCAGCGGTGGTGGTAGTGGTGGCGATGCGTTTGGCGCCACTCCAGCGCCGGATCGTAAGCGACAGAAAACTCATTGAAAATGTGTGTATCGATCGATTGGCAGCGAAAGAAACGCTCATTTATTACATTACAAACGCGTTGTGAGAAGAGATGTGTGGGAGAGAGAGAGAAATGAATGATTACATGTGCGACACTTTGCGACTCAATGGTTATACTGACGACTGATGTCTATAATTAATAAATTAAGAATAAATATCTAATTTATTTCATCACATGAATGGCTATCATATTATTATCGGTTAATTCAACACAAGACTAACGAGTGTTGTGTAACAAACCCTTCATTCCTTTGCATTTTATTAAAAAATACTTTTTCCTGTTAAGTGTTTTCCAATTCAATAGTATTCTCGTGTCGTTAATATTCTTCGGGCACTCATTTTGTTTGTCAAATGAGTGCAGAAATTACTTAAATGTTTTAAAAGTTGATTCAATTCTCTATTCAATAAGACGACGGAAATTGCATTAAAGTTTCATTTAATGGTGGAAACAATATCTGGCGTTTGTTTCTATGCTCTTCTTTTTACGTTTTGAGGCCACAACTCATACACTTTGCCTTCTCTCTCATGTGATGTATATGTGTTAGAAGTGAAACAAATAAGTTATTTATTTGTAAATATAGTATAACTTAAGTTGTGTTATATGAAAGAAAATCGAGACGTGTATTGCTTTTGTGTAAATTAATTATGTGTATGTGTTTGGGAGAGAGTTAGTGTATGAGTGAGTTGGGAGAGAGGGAGAGGGAGAGAGTAATTGACTTTAGTAGTGACCAATTAAAAGAGCAGCGACTGCCGGACTTATACCATAGGAATAGTCAATGCCATCGGTTTAGCCATTCTGTAGACTATTATTGTTATTATAGCACATATGCCGCACATATCGACCGTTTCTTTATAAACTTTATCTGCACTTTGAAAGTAAAATATATTTATTTTTGTTGCAATTATGAGGACTACTAA